CACACAGACTGTGAGTGGGATTATTCAGGTGGATGGTATTACCGGTTACGGCCCACTTGTTTCCGCCCGAGCTAAATCAGTTGTACTGTCTTGTACTGCAACAGAGGTAATGCACTCTTGAGAGGTCACTCCTCAAAACTGCCAGCACAGTTAAGTCTCCGGGAGTACCGCGGAAACTTCCTTTATATTCTTGTGTGTCACTGATGGAACACCCTGATCAATCCAGTCATTTCTACGCCTACACAAACCATAACAATAATTCAGTGAGGTCATGCATTTAGCCACTTGCATTTTGTTGCGCAGCCCTATTTCTCCCCTTCCAAATCTTGGAGAATGTCTTGGAGTTACGAGTTGCTACTTATTGGGGATTTAAAACTATTCGGAAAGCAGGAATGCTGCAATAAAGAGGATAATTGCTTTCCTTGATAATGAAAATACCAACTGCTTTTCCTGAATGTTTCGACATGCAACCAGAGCACACAAACTGGCTTGTAAGGCAGCACTTCTTAACCCGTATCAAATTCAATGTTCTTTGTCCATGAACCAATACTCTGCAACAACTAGCTAAATTCATGGTATGTCGTGCAATATAGGCTTATGTTGTGCTGCAGCAAGAGTACTTCAACAGTTAAAAAAATCGCCTTTCTACAGTAATACACGTCTTTTCCGAGCGAATTTCTAGGGATCACAATGCAGAGATGAGTAATAGTAGAGTGGTGCATTTAATCCACTCTCCTCAGTGCCTAAAGATTAGCTCACGCCTATTTCAAATAGCTAACAGGCGCGACGAAGCAAAAACTATGGAACTTGTCCCAAAGCGGGATCAAGCAGATACTGGGCAGCAATCAAGTCTAGCTCCACAGGTCGCCGATATTTACCATCTGCAGTCACATATTGGCCTGGGGTCGCCCGACTGAATTCAGCTTGGCGTTCGAATGCTTACTGCGGCATGATTACCCCCGCTCTTCCCTCGCACCTTGATGATATCACGATGAGCTGGAATAAAAAGTTGTTTCCTGTTCAAAATAAGTCTGAATAAGCTTAAGCTCACCCAGATGTCTGAGAGAAATTCATTTTTCTTATATTCTTACACTCTGTGCTTAGTTGCACTTGTTCCTGATTTGGAAAACTTGCGAGTATTCATTTACGTCACTGACTAGAAGATACACAATTCATATGTCAGCATTCGGCCCTTTACGTTTCTCACAACTTTAACGTCAAGCAACTACATTAAATTTTTAGGAAATAATCCCTCTTAATCTTACAAGATATTATGTGGAATTTTTCTACCTGTTGCCGGCACATTTCTGGCTTGTGTCTTACCTATCCTACTTGGTTGGTCATCTGTATTGCCTGCCCCGGGCGAGCCCCATTACCACTCTTTACGTCTTTTGCCTGTGTAGTCAGGTATAAAAATTTGTATATTCTCTTTGGTTAGATGAAACTGAACGGAATTTTCTTACTGATTTACCATTCACCGTGATTTGTCGTATTCGAACGGTGCAGATGATGAACAAACATTAAAACTGATGGGCGTAAAAACGATAGAACAGTTTGCTACCAAGCACTTACCCATAAAATATATCTTGTAAAACATTTAACAATTGTGCGAATCAGAAAAATAATTCGACGCACCGGTAGCCGACAAGTGTTGAACCACTTGCCATAGTTTTCCCCACACATCCGATATTCTGTTTTATTAGGACGGACAGAAGGAGAGTATGAAGGAAGGAGAAGCATGTCGATGATCAGAACACAGATGAATGATTCAGACTCATGGGTGACTGTGACAAACCTCCTGTGTATCGTCCAGAACATCCCTCTTTTTTAAAGTATTTAATGGATAAAAATGCAACAGAACTCCTTGGCCCACATAATTTTGTAATTTTAACTAATGATTGGCCGATTAGATTCGATTTGGAGGTAATCATTCGAATCATAGTATTGCTTAATCGGGCCACAGCTGGGTTGAATGATCGAAGTTGTTGAAGGCGAGACTTGATGATTCTCTCTTGTTGGTAGATAGTATTCCACATGCTCCGCCTCACGGTTCTTTCTTGCTATTTTGTTGGAAATCTTGCACTCCGCTGAGTGAGTTTTCGGCTTGCGCCTCAACTTTTTAAGTTTACGTTTTAATGCAATACATAGAAAATATGCAAATTCTATGATCTCGATGAAAAAAGCCATTGTTAATCCAATACACAGAGAGCAAAGTCCCCCAATCCGTGAAAGCAATATATATATATCCAAAATTAAGCGTTCCTCTTTTACCTCCGTTTCGAAACCCTGACGAATTAAACTTATGTAGGAGAAAGTTCCATCGCCGAAGCCTTCATATGTACCAAATTGCAGCTCTCGGTCTTTTACGATATTAAATTCTCCGTGTTCTGCTTCGTGAACTGTCTCGTTCAAATGGTCAATTAAAGCTGAAAAGGTGGTTCCATTTTCCGGATTCTGCATAAATTGATCAACGCGGCGATAGTTGTATGCATAACTGCTGAGTTTAGATGGACTTGGGTCCCATTTGGTCACACTGAGTTCCGTGTGATAGGTGAAATAATTACATCGATGTATACAACGTCCTGACCTTTCCGCCTCCTCCTTGATCTCGCGTATACGGTCCAAAACAGTCCCAATGCAATGCAGACGTTCTGTTGCGCGAATGGCCACATGGATATCACTGCCATTCCTATCCAACGTTGTACAGTAAGGGATTTGCTTCACAATTTGTTGGTCCCCAACAGGTCTGGGCCATTCAGTATGTACGCAACCGCATTTCTTAATCAATTCTTCCTGTAACACAATGTTCAGACATGGCGTGTGCTCATAAGTGTAATTCATACCCAAGTCTACAATTTGGGTTTGTTGATTGGTACATGGGGCAACAGGCGTCGCTAAGCGATTCCACTGTAACGTAGTGTAGGTGATTTCGTTCATACGATTTGGTTGAATGTTTAACCCATGTTTTTCAATTTCTGGGTAAGTGCCCGGTTCATGAACTATCACTTTGATACCCTCACCACGTGTGAAGGTGTCCATTATGAAGGAGGAATTAGCCTCCACAATCTCCTTGGATGGAACCAAGCGTACGAGCAATATTAGGCGGATCACGTCGTCCGTCGTTTGTCTCGGCTGCCTTTCTATGGTCCAACAGTTGAAGTATTTTGGATGGGAGAAGCGAGTGCGTCTCAAGGAGGTTTCTGATTCTAGGTCACACTTTTCTGCAACAACTAGTGAGCTTTCATAATACACCATACAATAAGGGATCATTTCGTGATCGTGCCCAACTTTATAAGTCATCTGAGCATCTAGATTGGTATAGTACATTTCAATTGTATCTGAAAAGGCAAAGTTCACTGCCTGGGTCCAGTTACCCTGTTGCAGCATACGCAATGCCAAATGAGCATAACGAGCCTTTATTTCCCTAGGGCTGGGGACTTCACCACGATGCCAGAGGCTATTGGCTTCTAATGAGAAAGGATTGTGAGCACACAGTGTGATGGAGGGGAAAGTTGTTTTGTGATCTAGAAGTTGCCGCGTATGCCATGCAGTCTTGTAGCTTAAGTAATCAATAATGAGGAAAAATGTGGATACGAGCAGCAGACAAGTCATTGAGATAACAAACAAAATCCATAAAACACGTATAAACGTTGTTTCGGCACGAAATATATTTTGTATTCCTCGAATAGACGAAAGTTCTCCAAAAGTGCGGCTTTGTTTTACATTGGGTAGAACTTTCGGACCAGAATATAGAGGTCGTTTGCAGGTTTGAGTGTGCAGTGGTGTTGACTGGGTACTAAAGGTGGTCGTACCGTTGAAATTGTCGGTCTCTGATATTACAGCTCTGTGACCTTGCATTGTCTCTGCGGTGGTGATAAGACTCCGGTTGAGTCACAATGAAGTTGTGGATAAATGGAGCCAAGTTGATCACAGATGATTTGAATCTGTCAGTGAAAAAAAGAGGCAGCTAAATGAACTATTGAACGCTATTTCTGAAATATAGATGATGCAGTTCACCCTCAAAATAAGTGGAATTAATGAGATTTAGTGGCCACAATGTGTCGCTGAAGATCCAATTCCTTCATATCCATCTGTATTTCTCCCCTGACAACTGCGGAATGGTTATTAATGAACATTGCAAACCTTTTCATCAAGATATCTCTAAATGGAGCAACGATACCACCGAAATGGTCCAATATCATGATAGTTGACTACTGCTGTACACTGGCCAGAGAATCTACAAACCAAGTGTACAAGGGACAGGAAAAGAAATCTTAGAAGAAATCTGTGAGCACCGTTTTTACAGGTACAAACTTATTGAACGAAAACTATTGCCATGCATTTGGTGATTTGAACAATTATTACGGGTTGTAAATAACTAGAACCAATTTTGTATTTTGTCTGTAATATTTTGTACATCATTGAAAGGAATTGCTTGAATTATTTTAGTGATATGAATTCAGTGAATGTTTATTGTTCGGTATTATGAGCCGGATGGGCCAGTTCATTGTTGAAATCTGGAGTGGGTTTGAATTGCAACCCACGAGCTCAGTTGGGTTCACTATGAACGGAAATTCCGTCATTAACTTTAGCGTGACCGCATCAGAAGAGGAGAATTTCGGTGTTGCTCGATCCAAACACTTCCCGGCAGTAACGGTTTCGTCCTGTAAAACACTCTTCAGACAGAGATGAACGGAGGTGGTTGTGGAACTCTGGATGTAGTGACTGATTACTACACCATTGAGCCCCTCGCCTAACAATGGAATGAAGATAATATAGAACAATGGTAAGCTAAGGCTTGAAAAGTCCCGTGAGAATATTTGTAGGAAGAAGCTTAATTCAATGAAGTGACATACAAGTGAGAAAAACATCTGTAGACTCACCATACTATCCACGTTACCACATAGGTATATCCGTCTACCACAACTTAGTGGGAGTTAGTGAGCACAATGTTTGTCTGCGTATTGTCGTCACTCATTGAATAGAAATCAGAACGAGTAACCAAAAGGATGTAAAGCATCGTCGAGCCGTCTTTTAAAAATGGGTAGCTTGGGCGCTGAAACGGCAAAAGTCGAAACAGCGTTCCACAGTTGACCAACTCGATGGGAACAATACTTCTGACGGCACTCAATCCAACTGTATTGGGTGACAAGTTTCAATGTATTACCCCACAATTCGGTGTTGCAGCTAAACTTCAGGAGGTGGGGGCAAGCGTGACCGGGGTTTTTCGAAATCTGCAACCGCAGGATGAAGTCATCCCACAGACGGCGATATCTTCCCATGCACACACACCCAAGGCCTTCTGTCGCCTATGTTATTGCAGGTGGAACAAACCCTCCACATTTTTCCTTGTCCGTCGATGTCTTGTTTCCAGTGCAACCAAGTCGCGTTTTAACCAGAGTTGCCGAGCTTGGATCTCGTACTCTATATGGGGCTTCACGTGCGCATTGAGCATTTGGGAAAAGATGGACGGATCGAACCTACCGAATGCCCTCGTAACAGACCAACATGCACGTTCGCGATTTTGGACGCCTTCATGGACTGCGCCGAGCTGTCGAGATCGTCCTGGATTACCGCCCAAAGGTCTCGCTCTTGTGTGGCGATGTTCTGCATATGGTCTCCAAGGTTGCATGCGTACGTGGGCCTGTGGCGGACATGCAGGGTTTTGCACTCGTCCTTATTAAATGGAAGTAGATTTAATTTAACGACTCAAAAGGGCAGTCAAATCTCGTTGTAACATATCGTGAGGTTTCTGTAGGTCGATTGCCCTGCATATCTTGATGTCATCAGCAAAAATCAGGAAATTTGGTTTGATGACACTCGCCAGGTCGTTATTGAAGAATAAGACTAACCGCAGCCTCAACACCGCCCCTCTTGGAACACCGCATTGCACATTAATTGAGTCAGAAAATTAACCTGGAACTCGAACCTAAAGGTGCCATTGAAAGAGGAAGTATACGATCCATCTAATGACAGAGTTTAAAACCCAGATGCCTACAGCTTTTGGAGAAGGATGCGGTGATCTATGCGGTCAGACGTTTTGGAAAAGTCTAGGTAGATGACAACAATACCGCTCGGCTATCTCGGTCCAACTGTCATAAGCAATCAGTAGATTGGGAGTAGACGACTGATGCTGACGGAATCCGTGTTGCTCCGATGCCAGGATATCAGATCTTTCGAAATATCCCATTACAACATCAGCTATGATCGATTCCATCACCGTAGAGAGCACCGGGAGGAGAGTCACTGGGAGATAGTCGGTTGGCTCTGAACGGTTAGCACTTTTGAAAATCGGGCTAGTGATGCCCTGCTTCTACAAGCTAGGGACCTGCAGTTCATCCATGCATTTTCGGAAATATATCGTTAATGATTCAGCTATCCTCGTAGATGCCACCTGCTGCGCATTCAGGAAATGTTGTTACCGAACTAAAGGTGAGGTGTATCAATACTGAAATCTGCGAGCATGGGATAAATTACAAATGCTGGTAGCACGTCGGAAATTTGGGGCATACTGTAGCCGTAGAACGTTGACTGCATCCTCGGCGGTTTTGGCACATCCATCTGCTGATATTAATAGGGAACACCACCTTTCCCATTCCGGAGGCTGTTCACATGCCTGTACAGAAGATTCTGTCAGCACAAAACGTTTCCGCTAGACTCTGCTGGTGTATTAATTTGTCCTCGCGCACAATTGTGGTAGAGTGATTACGATGCACAGGATATTCTAGCTCTCAGGGCTAGGGTTCTCTCTATACACATGTCACGCAACGTCTCTTACAGTCATGTGTTTTCGGTTCTACCCCAAATGAATTACTGTGCCCTTGCAGAACGAAGGAGCTTGTTGACTGATGCAGATTTAATCAGCTCACTGAACTTGCCAGTAAAATGCAACAAAGCACTGTCAATGGAACTATCGTCCGGAAACTCCCAGGTGGCATCTCCCACAAGTTCTGCCAGTATGTCGTAGAGCGTGTTGTTCGAAACAAGGTAATATGTTCTTGTGGATACTCCGCATAACACACGCACGCGTAAATTATGGTTACGTGCACGCTTCGCCCCAGCTGGCTTTCCAGCTTTGGCTTCTCAAACATGAGCTTTTCGTTCGTGAGCACTACATCAAACACAGATGGTTTAGTACCAGCTCTGAAGCGGGTGTGTGAGCTGACTTGGCAGTAGAGCGGAATGCTTGCAATATACCCTTGCAGCTCGCCTTTAACTGCACGTTAGGGGAGCTGGAACTTCCAACTCATGAAGATTGAACTCACCTGATATGAGAACATGACTGTATCATCCACGTAGGACCCTTCCCAAGGATAATGTCAGGCAGGAGTGCATCTCTGGGGTGGACGTTGACGGAAGATCAACAACTGCCACAAGACAAATGTCGTTGTGTCTCAGTTGCAGACTGCACCAGAGTGAGCATATGGTCAGCATTTCCGAATCGACCACCGGATTAAACTGCAGCTCGTTGCTGTAGTATAACAGTAACCCCGCCCTTGCTACGCCGATGGTTCCGGAGAAGGGACATACCATGTATCGCGACGTCAGCGTCGGCAATTTCTGACTGCAACCAGGTCTCCGTGACGAGTATGCGGTCCCAGGCATGTGACGCTTAACCTAGCAGTTCAGCAAGCTTATTCAGGAGACCTTGTCAATGGCTAATGGTCAGAGGTATTTTGTGGATAAAAACGACTAAGCTTGACATGTCTCGCCGGATGATCGGTTAGGGATAAGCAAAATAAAGGCAACGATGACAACATGTAATAGTGAACAAATGCAAATTGCGAACTTGCTGCTTACGGCTTTCCCATCCGTTTTATGTACTATCCAAGTCATCGTCTGTGGTTTCCGGGCGAAAATTAGAGGTGGGTTGGTTTGTTTTTGTTTTTCTGCTGTTTGTTTGGGTCGTTTGGATTACGCGATATGGTGTAGTTTGGCCAGTGCACTGTCTACACGTGCTTTGAACACGGGTCACACGAGGCCTGCAATAACTGCTTCTGAGAGGTTATTCCACGTGTGGCAAACACACGGCCAGAAGAAGTTTCTTCGACAATCCAACAGACTGTATTGCTCTGCCAATTTGAGATGATGACCTTTCAGTTAGCTGTTGTGACTCAGCTTCAACTGGTGATGGCAAGGGTTTATTAGAGTTGTTTACTATTTGGTAAACCATGGTTAGGTCACCACGCAAACGGCTATCACGTCCACTGGAAGTGCGAAGCACACTGAGGCGCTGTTCGTATGACAAGTGGTCGCCCGACGTTATAGAAGCTCCGAAGCCGTGATGTCCTTCTTTAGCCATCGGTGCAATGCTTGAATTGCGTATCTAACGAGGGCGTATAGACACGGGAAGTATTTGGCCGCCATAGCAAGAGTCTTTGGGCGGATTTCTTCAATTCCTGTACGGACGTGCAGGTGTGTTGATATCAACTTTCTCATCACGATGTCTACAGTAAAACTTATATGAGCGAGTTCAGGTGTGGGCTCCATTGATTCCAAAGATTCAGGAAACCACGGGGTGCAATGAGACGTTGGTGTATATTGTTGCTGCAGTATATTCGTCGCTTCTTTAACAGTCCGAGTCAGACCATCCACCGTTTCAAGAGAGAAAA